GCAAAAAGCTACAGTGGCAAGATTTATTCATGTCTAATTAGCTAAACTGTTCTACAGATGGAACTTCATGCTGAATCTTCCCAGATGTTTCACACAAAACCAGGAATTAAGGCAATTCAGAAACAGTGAGGCTGTCCAGGAGATAATTCCTATGGAAACTTTTTTCTATCTTCATCAAAATGTGAACTATAGAAATTACTATAGTCCAAACACATCTGATTTGGAGGGTTCAGAAACAGATGAGTGATAAAAACATCATCTGATGTCAGATCCTTCAAGAACAGGAACTTCAGTAAGGATCTCAAACTACAATTCATACTGTTTTACAACTGATCAAGAAAGTGAAACATATTTACATATGTACTGGCTACCTGTGCTGAATTTGGCTGGGATAGAGTTAATTTTCTTCATAGTAGCTGGGAACAGTGTTGGTAATAGAGAGATATTTTTGTAATTGCTGAGCAGGGCTTACACAAAGTCAAGGCCTTTTCTGCCTATCACACCACTCCACCAGCAACGCGGCTGGAGGTCACAAGCAGTTGGGAGAAGACACAGCAAGGACAGCGGATCCCAGGAGATCAAGGGACATGCCACATCATAGAATGCCATCTCAGCAGTAAAATTAGGGGCGAATACAAGGGGAGGGGAAGCACTGTTCAGGGGCTGCTGGGCATTGGTCAGGCCTGATTCTCTCCCTCGTCCCACTGGAGAAGGGTGTGTGTGTGCATGTATGTGTGTGTGAGTGGCTCTGCGATGCTTTAGTTGCTGGCTGGGAAGCACCCTGGGGTCTACAGCACCTATATCCTGTGGAAGCAACACTTTGATTTAAGATAAATATGCTCTAATTTGTTTCCATATCCCTCTTTAGCTGTAGCGCTGTACAGTCTCTACCCACCTAAATGTAAGTAATGTAAGAAGTTTACAAAGTCTGCAGGCTCTTACATGTTCACTCTAGTAGCCTCTGACAGGTAGGTACTTCTCACATCACACAAGCTATGGCTTCCCTCTCCCACAGCCCTTTCCTTTCTTCACAGGTGGAATGGAGGGCTGAGCAAAAGAATGGGATAGGTAATTAGGAGGCATCAAGTTTCCAGGAAACCTCTTTTACAACCCTAAGCAAGCTTTGCCCTCACTGCCATACTTACCTCAGGGAAAAAAAAGAGTGAAAGTTTCCGTTATAAGAATTTTATTATGTAGAAATTGTGCTGACACACAGGAGCCTGCATCCTTCCAGGACACAAACAGCTCTGTAAGTTGTGGTTTGTCCTTATGTTCAAGCAAGCCATGCATCAAGGGACATACAGTTCTCCTGTTATGGTTGAAAACCATATTTAAAACATGTAGGCACTAAAACCTTATTCTCTTGGTAACACTGAGTCCCGCCAGAATATATTTAATGCCGCTGTGCTTATTCGCAAACCAAGCCAACTTTCTCTGCTAAGCAGAGAGATTTCTGAACTGAAATGCTTTTTCTGCAAGCCAAAGGTCGCAGCAGATGAAATTAAGCAATAATTAATGCACAACTGAAATCAGAGCCATACATTGCAGACACACCCTGAGCTTGTTCTTCCACAGCAGCAACAGAATTTCAATGGTGAACAATTTTGTAATATCTACTGAAATCTACCTTGTATCAGAGATAAAAACTACTTTAATCAAACTATCCAACAAACACATGAACCTAATGTGTCCTTGCAGCTCCATCATGCTCTCTTCTCTCTCTATACTTTCCATATTTCTAGTGGGTTTGATCCCAGACCACTAGATTTTGCTTGCTAGAAAAGATTAAAGTATTTTCAGTATGCAACGTATTTTATATTGTTAAAGAAACAACTTCTAAAGAAAGGGTTTGTAAAGGGTCTTTACTCAGGTGAGGCCTTCTCAACCCTGCTCTGTAGTTAAGGGGAAGTTATACATATTTTTCAGTTGCTTTTTTCCCCAATATGAGCTCTTATTTTGTGAGATTTGTACCTTTATAAGCAGTAAAATCTTTTGTAGAGTTGGAACTGAGAGAAATTCATGAAGATAGCCACTGATAACACACACGGAATCCACTTCAGTAAAGAGAAGAAAAGTTACCAACCAACTCTGATTTTGATGCAGTAATTAACTAACACTGATACAATACTGTAGTAGTAAACTCTACTGTTCTGTCTAATGAATCATTCACATTAATCTCTGATCACGTGCCAGTTAAGGACTTAAAATCATTAAACTTTGTGACGTCCCATTTTCCTTGTGATACCCTCCTTCCTGGAAAATGTACCTGCAGCTCTTAAAAAAACGCCACAGAAATGTAGAGTCCAGGCTCTGCTATTAAATCAGCAGATTTGGATGCTTTCCTTAAATCATTCAGCCACTTCCAAATATTCTGTCTTCATTTAAAAGCAGTGTGCAAAGTTCCATTCCATCTTTCAAGATTTGCCATTATTTTCTGGAGAGTCCACCATGGATCTCAGAGTTCTGATTCACTGGTGCTCGTGCTACCATAGCTCATGGAGTTTTTTCAAGGTCTGATCCATAACTATGTAGATGACCAAAGCACTCAAGATTCAGCTGCTGAACAGCTACAAAGCAGCCTCTGCAGTAATTCACTCCATCTCCCTGGCCTCCCTTAAAATACCATGGTGCAAAGTTACTGCTGGTGGCAGCTAATGATGTTCACCTGCTTCTGGAAGCCCAGATTTATTCCAGTCTCAAATATATAAAAAGCAATTCTCTACAGTCCTCAAATACTACATGGCCTGGAGAAATAGATAATTGATCCATGCTGCAGAAAATGATAGCATTGTTTAATATTTTCAGTCACAAGTTAAAGTGCTTGTTACGGGAAGAGCATCTTGGGATTTTTTAGTTTTCTTTTGGTAATTCTCTAAAAGATGTTATTTTAGTCTATAATTATTATTTTAAGCACCCTTCATCCAGTCAGTAGCATTTTAGTGAAAGTAACAGTGAGCTGTATATAAACACCACCAAAAAGGAAAAAACTGCAAGTTATGTTAGGTTTGTTTGCAGACTGGCAGAAGGCTGTTTATACATGAGGAATTTAAGATTCCAGGCTATGAGAGACTCGTGTTCCCAGATACTTGCTTTCCCACTTGGGAATTGATCCATGCTTACTCATTGAAACTGGGAAAAGTGATTTTTTTGTTATTTCAATTTATCCACAAACTGGTGGACAGTTGACGGGGAGGGAGAACATCTTCAGGTGACAGCCTGGAGTGTAAATCTGTTTATCTAACATGGTGAGCTGCAGGTGTGGTGGTAAACATGACAGTGTGCTGCACTCACAGAACCACAAAACCTGCGGGTCAGGGGGTGAACTGGAGGAGCAGTCTGACCAGTACTGCAGTAACCATCACCCAGCCTATTATCATGGATTAATTGGCACTCTTTGGAAAACCACAGAAGGAATTAATGATGAAAGAATGCAGACTACACAAGAACCAAGGCAAGCCAGAAGTAATTAAAATTTACCTACACAGGGGGCTTCACCTGAATATAATATGACAAAATATATTTTAAAAGTCCTGTAGCCCTCAGAACATTCAACTGTTCAGGCTTCCAGTCAGGCTGTCCAGTTCTGTGTCATTTACATTGGATATAAGTACATTTGACGACTGAGTGCACAAAGATGCTGTGCCTTTTGTGGAGTATCTAATCTCCAGCTGCACAGCTATGCACTTCATCGTTCAACAGAGACAGATCCAATGTGCGCTTTTAAATCCATTTCCAACTAAAAACAACACAGTAACAACTTCAAGAGAAGGTGGAGCTTACTAGACTATGATCACCCTACAGGTTCAACAAGAGCCTTAAGGAAGAAAGTGCTTGAATGCAATTCTCTCTGTGAAAGTTTTGTGTCTGCAACTAATCTATATTTGTCCAGAGAAGGGTGACAAAGCTGGTGAAGAGTCTGGAGCATATGTCCTATAAAGAGTGTCTCGCTGAGGGAGCTGGGGGTGTTTAGCACAAAGAAAAGGAGCCTGAGGGGGAACCTTATCACTCTCTACAAATACCTGAAAGGACATTGTAGCCAGGTGGGGTCGGTCTCTTCTCCCCGGTAACAAGTGACAGAACAAGAGCACATAGTCTTAACGTGTGCCAGGGGAGGTTCAGGCATGACATTAGGAGGAATTTCTTCACAAAATGGGTGATTAGAATGGGCTGCCCAGGGAGGTGGTGGAGTCGCCGCCCCTGGAGGTGTTTAAGGGAAGACTGGATGTGGCACTGAGTGCTATGGTCTAGTTGACAAGGTGGTGTTCGGTCATAAGTTGGACTCCATGATCTTTTTTCCAACCTAATTGAGACTGTGATATTTGACAATTCACCTCAACGCACAAGCCACATATGAAAGTGGAGGTTTCCAGCCTCCATCCCAAAAACAACACAAGTGTCACCCACGCTTTGCGCGCTTCAACCTTGTTTCAAAGGAACGCGATCACCCGCCGTAAGAGCACCCGGGGAACCCGAGTTCTTGTCTTTTAGGGTTTAAGGGACGACGCGCAGATTTATTCCGTGCCTCAGGGGAAAGTCCTGCTGGCACCGGGCTCTCCCGGCGGCGGACAGCGGTGTCCCCAGGCGGGCGCAGGGGCCGCAGCCCGGGGGCACACAGCCGATCCAGCCGGCGTGGGACCCGCCTGGCCGCGGGGGGCTCGTCGGGCCCAGCGCAGCTCCGAGGGGGCTTCGCCGGCGGGAGCCGGGAGCGCTCGGCGGGGAGGCCCCACGGCCGGCACCGCGTTCCCCCCGTATCACCGCCCCCGCCCTCGACCGGGCACTCACCGCCAAGGAAGGTGCCAAGGGCGAGGCATTTCTTCTTGTGCCGCTTAAGGAAACTCCAGAGGGACCGGAGCATCCTGCGAGCCTGTCCCGGCCCGGCCGCCCCTCGGGTCCCCGCGGCGGCGGAAGGGGCGGAGGCGGCGGCGGCGCCGCCCGCGGTGCCCCGGAACAGCGGCCGGGCCCGGCATGGCGGAGGCGGGGGAGGCGGCCGCGCTGGCCTGGATGGACCAGGCGCTCGACGTGGTCAGTGCGGGCGGGCCGGGGCTCCCGTTGTCCCGTGGGGAGACCTCGGGGAGCCCCGGGAACCCTGACGGCAGCAGGGGGGAATGGGGGCCGCGGGAGCTCCTCCCGCTGCTGTAACGCTGTCCTGTGCCTCTCGGCCGTCTGTCTGTCTGTCCCGCAGGCTAAGGAGGCGCTGGAGAAAGGGGAGGTTCCCGTGGGCTGCCTGCTGGTCTACAACGGCGAGGTCATAGGCAGAGGCAGGAACGAGGTCAACGAGACCAAGAACGTGAGTTGAGGTCGGGCCGAGGCCGCCGTGGCTTTGCCGCCCCGCGCCCGTCCCGTTGCTGGGTCTCAAAGGTGCTCTCTGGAAAAGTCACCTGGGGGCTAAGAGAGAGAAATTACTGTGCAGCCTTTCCTGATGAAGTTCTGTCCACAGGCCAGAATAAAAAAGCTATTTCCTGTAGATTTTACACATGTTGCAACTTTAGCCGTCAAATTACCCATAAGATCTGGTGCTGAGAGACCAATTAATGCCAATAGGGACTTTGTACAGCTGGAAGTTTTGTATAAATTAATCTGACTGTAGGATCTGGCTGTAATGTATATTAGGTGTCTCAAATCTGAAAACATAATAAAAAGTTAAAATGAGTCTTTTAAGCTCAAAAATTTAACAGTAAAGATGAATCATTATTAGTAACTTGTTCTGCAGGACAATCTGTAATGTATTAAGAAGATTCTAATACAGCTTTAAGAAAGCCAGATGGCAGAGAAGTTAGGTATCTCATGTTACACCATTGTAAACAGTGTGGGGAAGCAGACACTTCTTGGGAAAATCATGCCAGAGATATTAATATGTTAGCAAACAGACAGAACATAACTGACAAGACTGATAACAAAATCAAAATCAACTTAAAAATGTCAGGGAAGCTTTCAGCTATTTTTGGTATCAGGGCTGTCTGAAGGTATGTACTAAAATGCAAATAGCCTGATTTTAAAAAAATCAGCTGGATTTTGGGAACAGTAATCTGTTAATATCTTTGAAAGCCAAGCTATTTTTGAATTGCTGCTAAGCTCAAGTTTCAGTTATTTTGTGGCTCAATTTTCATAGCTGCTTATAATTTAGTGATTGGAAATGCTGGGCAATTAGTGCTTCTGAATTTTTTATCAGACACATAATTGCTCCATGTGGTCTAAAAAAACAATGTAAGCTTGAAAGAAGTACTTGTTATGAAATGTGAACGATGGAAATTGTTTTCAGTTTTCTCCTAACGATTTCTGGCATTATTTAGGGACCATCCTGGGGAAAAAAAACAATCCTCTTGAACCATTGAGGCAGTTCCAGCAGACATCATAAATGTCAAGGTCTATTTTAAAACTAGTTTCTTATCCCACCTTATATTGAAGGACTTCTCCAGAACATCATTCCTCAGATGGCTAAAAATGTCTGATTTCCAGTTTCAAACTTTTTTTATTCTGTTTATATCTCCCTGTTTTTGTGCCAGCATCCTCCATTATTTTACATAGCTTGGATGTATTTAAAGTCTTATTCCTTTTCAGCTTTTGTTTTTTTCCCCAGCCAACTGTTTAATTTCCTCTCAGAAGACAGGCTTGCTTTCTGTGTTCATTATAATAATTCTTTTACACAGCCATTCCAGCTTCGATTCATTTTTTTTTTAATTCACTTAACAAGAACTCTGTGTTTTATTCCAGATGGATTTGTGCTTTGTTTGAGAACAATAGTACTTCACATTCTCTGGAAGAAACTCTACCCATCTTTTCTGGAGCTTCCTTGATCTTTTATGCTGTTTTGTTATTCTTCATTTGTTATTTTGAATTTTTTTTTTACTCCCATGTAGAAAGTAATCCACCTCCTGAGTGACACTCACCCTGTCACTTCTTGTGATGCTTTTCATCTTACAAAAGATGTCATGTCATCACCTGTTTTCTGTAGGGGTTTTTCCACTTAATGGCAATGACACAACTGAAAACATTTAAGCCAAATGATCTTTGAGTGTCTGTGGTAATGACACTGGACAAATCCTTCTGGACAAATATTTCCCCCGTCAATGCAATGTCTCTTCTTTTCTTGCTCACCTTACATTTCATGCATTAGGCTGTTTTCCCCACTCACAGTAATTTCACAGGTTGTGCTGAGCCAGATGCACTGGAGATGTCCAGAAAGACTGGTGTTTCTTTTGCCTAGAAAAAACATTTGTCAAAGAAAGTTATTAAGTTAATTTAGCGTCAGCTACCTTACTGTTTTTTGTTTAATTTATCTTTTATAAGGGCTAGATAACACTACTTTCAAAGGTTTGTTATCTTGCCTGTTTTACTATTGAGACCCTCCTGGATCTATAGGTGTCAGTATTGTGTGACACCGGTCCTTCCTGGTTTTCATTACAGTGGCTCTGTTTGCACTGAAGGTTTCACTCATGCAATACTCTGCCTTGATGCATTAAAACATTGCTGTGAGACTGGCAGCTTTCTGGCCTCCAAAATGCAGCTTTATAACATACCGACTTTTTTTAAATTCATGAAAGCTTTGTTCCTGCTTTGAAAAAGTGATCATGTATCCAGTTAGTTCTTCAGTCCTTCCCTGCAGTTCTGCCTTTGGTCAGGAATCAGCTTGCCTCTGAGCCTGGTGTCAAATAAATTCTGTCTTCTCCTTAAGCAGGTCCCTGCATCCTCTGATGTAACGGGCTGAAGTTAGGAGCAGGTAGTGTCTTCTTTATGCCCGCGTTTATTATGTTCCTAAGCTGCTCATTTTGGCAAAAAGATTTAGTGGCCAAAAACTCCAGTGTTTTCAGGCTGTCTCCTGTCACCCTGAACCTTTTTTTTTTGCCTGCCGTGTCCACAGCAGAACACATCAATGTCAGAAATACTGCTGCTTACTCTGTGGAAGTTATTTGCAAAATTACTAATCATTGCATTCTTCTGGGGGAAGTTGCTTTTGGAAGAAGGGAGTTTGTGTACAGCTGTGTTTGGTTTATTTTATTTTTTTAGGAGCATGGCTGTGGCATCAGCATTTCAGAATAGTTAGACACGACACTACTTGTCTTCATTGGGCAGCAGTACAGCAAATGTCTGTGTAAGACACTGGGTTTAGACAGCCTGGCGATTCATTCTCAAGCCTGTGCCAGTGCTGTGTTCCCTCTGGCAGCTCCTACGCTTGCTTGTTCACAGTCTTGCCTCAGACCAACCTGAAAATTACAGCATATGTGACCCTCCCCAGCTAGAAATGTTTTTTTGGCGTCTTTATTCCCACATGTGATGCAATTCATTCACTTCCCAATAAAATGCTCTCTCTCTTAGGTGCTTTGTTGATACACACGGACATCTCCTCTTTGTTGTCCTGTTGGGTCATTGTGGCAAGTGTCTTGCAGGCACAGTATGGGATAATTGAAAATTAAGTATTGCTTGTGTAGTGAAGCCACAAGATAGCACAGAACTTTGAGCTATGGCCCCCTTTACTCTCACTTGTTAATTGTGGCCTAAAATTTAGACAGTAAGCTTTTTAGGGCAGTGGTGATATCTTTATCTTGTCTGTAAAAGATTTGCCACACCTTTCACACCTATCACACAAAGGGGCACACTGAGTCAGCTTTTTTCCCCTTGGTACACCATTTGCCACTGTAACAATTCTCATTTTCCCTTGCTACTCTTACCCTGCTGTTGCTTTCTTGGCTTTAAAATAGTGTGTAATATTTGGCAAGTTAAGCTTATGACCTGAATCAGTGACTCAAAATTAAAATAATCCCTCTTGTATATTATTTTATACACAGCAAGTCAAAAAATGTCTATCTGGTCATAGCTTAATAGAAGATAAAATCTTAAGACAGACCTAGAAGGTCAAATTTTCACTTATATCTTGTCTTTAAGAGGGAGCTGCAACAGGTGCTTAAGGAAGGAACTCAAGAAACAAGAAAGGAGCAGCATAAATCTTCCCCTTGCACATCCTTTCCACTTCTAAAAGTGAATACCTTAGGGACTTCCAAAGTCCAAGACTATATCTGGATCATTGTTTCTGATAGCTGTCCGTGCATATAACCTCCATGAATTTGTCTAAACCTTTTTTGAACTCATTTATGTTTTTGGCTTCCATAGCATCCTGTGGCAATGAGTTTCACAATATAATTATGTGATTTGTGAAAGAGTACTTCCTTTTGTTTGTTTTATATCTGCTGCCTGATAATTTCATTGGGTGCTCACTTGTTATGAGAAATAATAAATCACAGTTATAGCTGTGATTTTTCCACATTTTTCTTGATTATTTTAAAACCCTCTAGTGTAGTCTCTTAACTTGGAAAACTAATGACTGTATCTGTTAAGAGCCACAGTCTAATTAGTCTCTAAAATGGAGACTGTTCTGTAACTTGGATAATCCTTTCTCACCCTGAGGTGAATTTGTTCTGATGTTCCTGTGTCTTCAAGACATGAGATGACCAAAACAGTGCCAGTTATTTAAGGTATGGCTACACTGGTGTGTAGTAATGGTCTGTATTGGTGTAATCTCATTTGTGTAGCTGCATTCCATTACTGCAGAAGCTGGTAGGATCTGCAGATGCATGACCTTTCTTGGAGTTTTAAAACGTTTTTGAACAGTATTAAACATAGCAGTAAATTATGAGTCCTTTGTCATGCGTTGTAGAGCATCTCACTGCTATCACCACAGATTTTCACAGTGTTAAAACATTAACCCAAGTTCATGTTTTGAGACAAAGCTGTCAAGGGTCATGTAAGGACCTACGAAACAAGTGCAGGTATAATCTGGATTGATTAAGTCTTATTCTAATGCTTGTGTCAAAAACATCCTTTTTTCAGAATAGATAGAAGAAGAAGGAAAATACTAATAGTCTTAATTCAAATAAGCATCAGGCTCTAAGTGAAGAGTCCTTTCAAAACTAGTTCTTCCTGAAATTTTTGCTGTGACATTTCATTGGCATAACAGTGCTGCAGACATTTCAGAGCATTACTGGGACATTACTGATTGTTTTGGTCTCTCTGCAGTTAAAGTCAACACTTCTGTTCAGGCTTTTGTGCCACAGGTATTGAGACACTAATAATTCTGTTGTCTTGGATGAAAAAAAAGAAATTAATATTCCTTTGTCTTTTTGTAATCAGTCTATGCTGAAATCCCGGCCTATTGCTTGAGGGACTTACTGTGTGTGTATGGACCCCCCCAGGCAGCATTAAACCTGGGGCAAACTGAAAATGTTGTGTGTACAGAGCACACCAGGCAGTTGCAGAAACATACTGAAATTGGTGCATGTTCACAGTGTATTCATTCCTTGCAAGCACAGTAATGTTGTCAGAGGGAGGAAAAGGTACCACCAGCGAGGAGAACTTTGTTCATATTTCCAGAGAAAGTAATCTAGCCTGTATTCTTGCTTTTGGAAGTAGAGTGGGCTATGGGCTCCATCAGTTGTGCCAGTGCACTCTGTGTGTCCCTTAAGCCTCAAGCAGAGCTTTCATGTCTTGCCTTACTGTGCTGGCATGACTGAAAGAGGAGAACTGAGGCATGCTCCTCTACCTAGGAAAAAGTAGAAGAAAAAACTGGCACATGCAGATCTTGTGTGCTACACCCAAGAGGTTGGGGTTGAATATTTTCTTGCTTGGGTTGAGTATTTTTTCTGCAGTCTGTGTGTTACGAAATTTCTTTTGCAACTTGAACCAGCAAAGAGCATTACATTACATCTATAATAAAAGTGAATAAATGCAAGAAAATATTTGTTTGTATCTTCTAGGCTACTCGACATGCAGAAATGGTGGCAATCGACCAGGTCCTTGACTGGTGCAAGCAACACAAGAGGGATTATAGGGAAGTGTTTCCACAGTTGGTGTTGTACGTAACTGTAGAGCCCTGTATCATGTGTGCCGCTGCCCTGCGCTTGATGAGTATCCTTTCATGCTGACTCACAATGGGAAACTGTGTCAAACCATTACTCCTTTGGCACTGAGCCCACAAAGAAAGGCTTGACAGAGTCAGGGAAAGCCATGAGAGGTGGTTTGAGGGTCTGCACCCACCTCCATGGTGAACAGCAGGAGACTCAAAAGTGAAAGAGAGATGGTGCAGTTACGACAAACAACTGCTCTTAAAGATTAAAAATACATTTTAGAGATGTTTGTTTGCATGTAAAATAAGCTAAATGCAGTTTAGTGTTCAGTTTTTAATGTTATATCAATCAGTAAACCATGTCTTTGTATGCTCCTGCTTTGGGGATTCATGTTTCCCCTTTTCTGAAAAGGGCTGGATATGCAATATCTTCAGCAATATGCAATATTTTCAGCAATACTTCTTACATCATTCAAAAGTAAGTTCTGATTTTATGAGGGAGGAATTGTAGCTCAGACTAATATAGTTTGAAGAGTGCAAGCACATTTTAGGAAATTTGATGACTGCCTAGATCAGGCTTCTGTACTTCCTGCTTGTTTTTCACTTAATACCTTGACTCACTCCCATAAATTCCACGGGTCGTGTATGGCTGTCGAAATGAGCGATTTGGAGGCTGTGGCTCCGTTTTGAGCATCTCATCTGATGATATGGTGGACTCAGGAGACCCATTTGAAGTAGGCTGTAAAATGTTTCCCTTTGTTTTCCAGCTAGAGTACTGTGTCTGGCTTCGTTACCAGGCTTTGAGAATGTTATGCATCACTTTAGGAGGATAAAGATGGAAGATTATCAAAGTCAAATAAACTTGGCTTAATTAGAAAATAATGTAAGAAAAGAATAAGGTCCTTAAAGAAAAGAAAGCTGAGGAAAACCCTGATGACAGTCTTAAATTATTTTAAAGGATGTAGCAAAGGGTAAGGGAAAGAATTGTGCTTGTGGAACAAGGTAAGAAATATATCTAAAATATGTGTAGTACTTTGAAAGTAAGTATATGCTGCAGGAAGACATGAGGGAAAATTATTTTAAGCTGCAGAATGAACACATAATACAGGTCATAAATAATAATAAAGATCAGGTAACAGCAACTTTAAAAATTCCTGGGTTTTAGCTGAGCTACTGAAAATAATTATATTTTTGTTTTCAGTCTCTGTGTTTATGAGGTAAAATATATTAGCTTAGACTTACTTCATGCAGTTCAAATCCCCAAAATATCTGAACTGCAACAGTAGCAGAGGAGATTCAGTTTAGGTATCAAGAAACTTTCTGAATAGTAGGGATACTGAAAGACTGAACAGTGTCTGGGGTGATTTAGGCATCTTTGTCATGGGAGAAAGGCTGGACTAGCATTCAGTGGAGGTAGAGTATAAATAAATCCAGGTGCTTTACAGCATGACACTGCCTATATACCCATACCTACATAGCATTTTATTTATTACATTATTCACAGTTGTATGTGATCTTGCCTTATACGATGATACTGATTTTTGGAGTTCTTTTCCACATTTCACATTAATGATTTAATGAATGTGAAAAACAGCATTGTAAATAAGCACCAAAGGCTCAAAGAATTTCAGTCAGCACGACAATACTGGTTGTCACTCCAGTGTAAACATATTAGGCATCTTTTTGTCAGTGTGTCAGTGAGACTAACATCTGAATAAATTGGCATAGTCAGTACGGGAAGAGTGTTCATTTGCTAACATTGGCATATGGTTTTAATTTTTTTTATACATTCAGAAGGCAGAAAGGAGAAAGTTCTTGATACTAGGAATCCTTTGTTTCTGTATAGGAGTATACAGAGGAGGAGTAACTAGTTATTTTCTAGCATGTGTGGAGATTTATTTAGTGTGACATTTAAATGCTTTGTCATTAGTGTTCATGGCCTGGAAAAGTATTTTAGAAGGACCAAAAAGATCTGAAAGGTGACTGTTAGGAATAAAGAATAGATATGTGGGTGGGTGTATTCTGTCAGGAATCTTACCTGCAAGTACCTAGGTGTATGTCTCTTATGTTTCCAAGTGCTTGAGGAGTATGGGAGGTTAGAAATACATTAATAAGAAAGAAATTTTAGCTTGCATAAAAATTTTACATAATTTACTAAGAAAGTTTTTTTTGCCTAATATTAAGTTTTTAGGGAAATTACTTACTCTACTAAGCCTCAGCATAGTGGTTTTTCAAATGTGTTAGATATTAAACCTGAAAAAGAGATTTTTTTGACCCTAAGTTGACAGTAAGGTTGTTTAAAATTATTCTGTACTCAAGGCATTAATGTGAAGCATGGAATACATTATTCTCAGATGTACTCACTAACATCATTCTAATTTGAGCAGTGCTCTTCTGGCTATCGTGCTGAAGAAGCAGTGGAATTGTTAAAAGCTTTCTACAGACAAGAAAATCCCAATGGTAGGTTTTACATTAATGCATCCATTTTGATCCCAACCTAGTTTAAAAGAATGTTGGCACTGGAATTACTGTAATTCACGTCTGATGATTCTTCTCCTTTCCTGTTTCTTGGCAGCACCAAAATCAAAAGTACGGAAAAAGGATCGTCGTCAGTAGCCCTACACTGGTGGGACACAGAAATTAACCAGAAAATGATATGTGAAGATTTCTTCAGCATGCTGCTTTTTAAAAATATGCAGTTCAATCAAACGATGTTTTATTTTCTCTACAGAGTTTTTACTAATAGGATACTTAGTACCTGTTCCTGCATTTCTATATTTATGATTTCTTTTTATCAGGCCAAAACAAAAGAGTAAATGGCTGTTTTAGAAAGAGGGAAATTGGTGGTTCAAGTCCACTTGTTTACAAACAGATCCATTAAAATGGTGCTTTTTTTCCTTCTGTGTATGGAGAAGCATCTTGCTTTTCAATAGCAAATGTTTGCTTAGGCAAGCAAGTAACTCTCCTGGAAGGTTACATTTATAAGTCCTTTATAGTCTGTGTGTGTATATTTATTCAAAAGGCATATAAAGCAATTGTACACTCCTTGAAGACTTAGGACCACTGCAAATGTTTCCTCATTTTTTCCTACCTTAGCACAAGCCAGATTTTCAGAGGTAATTTCTGAAAGTCACATACCTGTGTAGACAGGGACATAAACACAATCACATGTCTGTTAGTGTGTGCTGTTGCTTAATAAGGATAAGCAAATATCACTTGGCTGCACAGCACCTTCATACAAAGTTGTGGAGAAACTCTCCACAGCTCTCTTTAGACTGTCCACTCTTCTTGTGAATATCAGTGTAAGAAATATTTTATTTATAAGAATCCACTAAGAAGTTGTTCTCAGCTCTTAAATTACAGTAACCAAGATGGGCAGATGCAAGTGAAAACCAGGAAATGAAGTTGGTAATAACATGAATAAAATATATTTAAGATATTTATTTTTTCATAGTGTTGGTTGGCTTTGTCGTTTCCATGTATTTTGCTTGGCCATGCAGTAATTTATAATCCAGAAGAGGGCCTTCAAGTTCCACTAATGAATTAAGAATACAAGTATAGTTCAATCTTGATTGTATACCTCTTAGTGGATACTTACATGAAGGATGAAATTGTTTGTATTTATTTGGCTGTTGTTCAGAAATTTGACAAATGCTGTCAATTTTATAACTATAAAAACTGAATACATTTAAACTTTTTAGATACTTCAAATAAGTACTTTCAAAAGCGTTTTTAAAAAGAATATTAAAAGCATTACTTTGTAACCATTGCTCTTAATAACTTAGAATTTCTATTTTATGTATTTACTTAATGTTTACAAAATGACAAGAGAAAGAAGCATTTTTACCATAATAGCTGTTTTTAGAGTTTAGAAATAATATTTTTTTTACTTAACCCCTTTAACTGTAGTCAGTTGTCTATCCTATTCTCCTGACCATTACTTAGAGGCCTCTTTGAGTCTTTCCCATTCCATAAACAAAAGTTATGACTGTTTTTGTAGATTCAATCTGCTTCAGAGCTCCAAGGGCTTGTGAACCAGACAGCTAAGCTGCAAAAGCTATTTAGGAAAAGACCATTTTTAATGACTGGGATGGCTTTATTGGAAAGGAACAAGCATGCCTGTGGTTATGGTATTTGGCTGGCGATAGAAGATGGCAATTTATCGCTACAGATACATTCACATCTTAGCTGGACCATAATTTTCTTATACCATGAAGAAATCACTGAAGTCCAAATTAAAGACATCAGACATCTGGCTTGTCACCGACATCAGTGGCAGTAGGAATTGGAGCCTTCGTACTGTTTTGAACCAGGACCTAAATCTCTCAACATCTTTTCTTTTTCAGAGGGGCTATGAACACTTTCCTTTCCCATTGCCTTCTTTCAAAGAAGGATGTTGTTATTGGAACATGTATGACAGTAGGAGCCATGTAAATAAGTAGAATGATTACTGGTAGTAGGACAAAACACAATTTAAAAGCTTTGTCCTATTTTTCAACCCTTAAATTGGAACAGAATTTTTTTGTCAGCGGTAACCTGTCACTTAATAAACAGTTCAAGTCTTGTGCAAAGCCAAAAAAGACTGAAGAGGGTGAGAAAAATAAAAATTTTTCTTGAAAATGATCAAGGCTAATAATGTGCATCTTGAAACAGGCATGGAAGAAGAATAGCATAGCATGATAAAAACTGTCATTTTATGACAGAAAGGTTATAAAAGATACTTCTGTTTACTATAATGTGTAAGCAAAATAATGGTCTAGTATTGAGGCGAATTTGGATGAGGAGGGGTTTGTTTTGGCTCTTTTGGTCGGTTGGTTGGTTGGGTTTGGGGTTTTTTAGCATAATAATTAGTTTGGGGAACAAACTGCTGAAAGATTACACTGGAAGCAAAAATGCAACCCATTCACCTAAAAATGCTACATACCCAAGTAAGAACAAATGTAGATAAGCAGATATTTTTATAAAGTAAACAAATGCACTCCTGTGTGAGCACAAGCACTCCTCAGAGCCATGCAGCTGGCCCCTCCTTGCTTCCCACAAGCAGTGCTCTCCTCCCTCCCTGCAAATGGCAGGAGCCCTGGAGGCTGGTCCTGTGCCACTTCCCTCAGAGGTGATTCTCAAGCAGGTGTCCCAGTCTGCTGTGCCACAGCTCTTCCTAACCATGAGTTTTGAGCTTGGTAGCATTTTTTAGAGTCAGATTTGCAACCTTGAGAGATCCACAAGGAATTACAGAGATCCTGAGTAGAAGGTTCTAAGTTCAAGCTCAGAGAAACCTCTCAGTGACCAAGCTGAAAGCAAGGGCTGGAAAAAAGGAAAGAGGAAGCCATGAAAATTATAACCTGATGACTGACTGGTTTCAGTGCTCTACATCAGAAAGTGAACTTGACAAGAAAGAGAACTGGAGAATACAGAAAGAATGCTAGGAAAAGATGCAAACCATTCTTGGAGTCTTATTCAACGAGAAGGTGCTTGCTCATGGCTGCAGAAGTGTAGGCTTGGTTTGGAGCTGCTGCTACCAGGCACATCCTGGAAGGAGTATTGCTCTCTGTTTGCTGGGGACCTGCAAAGCCTGGTATCAGGCTTTGGCTCTAGGTTTAGAGGAGTGTCGAGAGCAACAACTTTAATTGTTACTGACACCTGGAAAACTCAAGAGCAGCCGCTTATAAATGGTGCTATTTATTTTCACAGTGCTTTTACTTATATTTATCTGTTTCTAGGTTGCCACATAGCAGGCCTCAAGAGCAGCAGTAAATACATTCAGCTGGTTTATTTAAAGAAGTTTAAATGCTTCACCATTTCCCCCTTACTGCTTGATAAATAAGCATTTGTGCTTCAGGGTTACATTTGACTTGGACTGCATTTTTGCCAGTTCATCACAGGTAAACATGATTTTATTTCAGCCTTTGGTTTGCTTGTCAATAGTTTGACATCAAAAATATATTGAACCAGCTAGGAGGGCAGGAAGCAAAACAATGTGGCTTTGTCTCTGCTAAACTGATTACAATTGACAATCCAAGGCTATAATAAATATGTCTTGTGACTTGCACACTAGAGGAGAGCCTGAATTTAAATTATAGCTTTGGGTTTTGAAATGCTCACTGATCCATTCCATTCCCATTAAGAGTGCCTTCCGCTCTGCAAAATTAAGTGATATCTTTACATGACAGTTTAATTTAATTAATTTGTTTTTCGATACGTGCATTTATGGAGTTTCTCCATTAAGCTTTCGAAATGTCTGTAGGTCCTATGCATTAATGTAAATGCGCCATGGCCCATAATTACCTTTGGCAGGCTTAGGGCACTGATAAAAAGATTATATTTTTAAAAACTAAAGTCTTCAAACTTCCTCGGTGCTTGGCAGGAAATCTATTTCTGTGTTTTATTTGGAGCAAGGCTGTGGAGCCTGCAGCCAACAACTCCAGTGTAGGCAGTAACTTACATTTTAGAAGAAAATACTTCTGAGGCTAAATGAGAGAAAGGGAGAGGACGACAATTAGTGCAAGAGTACTAGAAGCAGCTGTTTGTGTCTTTTGCCTTGTGGCTGCCAATATATACTCTTATCATTAAAGTGCATCTAGAAACAAGGTATTTGCTATGAAATTACTTCACAAAACATGGATCTTTGTCTTTTTAAGAGGCTGTTCCAAAGTGAGTTTATCTTCCTTTTTCACAATAGCTCTGCACTGGCCAAGAATACTGGATTCTCCCTTTGCCTCCTCCTCCCTCCTTTCTAAAAATGAACTTTTCAGGAAAATATGGAATTCAGAGAAGTTTGAAGGAGAGCAGATGGCCAACAGTGATCCAATAGGATGTAAAACTTCAGTTAGGTAGTTGCTTGGCAGACAAGTACCAGTGAGCCTGTGATGTTTCCATAGTGATGTTTTCACATGGTGCCTTCCTTTTGTCTTTTAAAAATCTGAGTGATTTTAAAAAAGAAACAGGGGGCGTGGGGGTAGGGGAGGGGTGGGGGGTAAAATAAAATGAAGGGATCTGCCACGGCCAAAAACTTGGGCTCATCTCTGATTTCTGCCTGAGCAGTGATTCACCGTCCTCAGTTACTGTGGTTCTTGTGTGTGCTGTCTTGCTGGATAAAGCAGGGACAGCTTCTGAAATGATGACTGAGATTGTCAGGAGGGGCACTGATTTTTCTGGTGTCAGCATTTTACATTTATCTGTGGGGCAAGGTTTGCTGTGGCACTTCTCTAACCCTGAGAGCTTTCTCTGCATGCAAGGAGGCGGTGCAATAAAAATTAATGCTTTTAAATTTACCTCGATTCCTACCTTCTCCTTTTAAGCCTTAGAGGTAGCTATCACAGCCACATTAGTCTGGGAGGATATAAACAACAACCATTATTTGTGCAGCCACATTGCACAAGAGAAACAAGGTTTGTAGGGAGGGGCAACATATTCTATTAAGCCAAATGACAGTCAGAAAAAAACAGGCAAGATTTTCAACATCCAGCTATAGGGACACCGAGTTCAACAGCTTGCCAGCTTTTTCCACACACTTAAAGTAAATGAAGACAAGTAACTATGTGCCATTTTCCTGCAAAACCTGCTTTTCTTGAAAGAAAAAAAGGGATAATTTGATTATCAGATAGTTTGAGCAGGAAAGGTTTGGTAGGAGGCTGGACTCACAGTAAACACTTTTTAACTCTTCAGCACTTGTGCCAGCACTCTGTGAGGATCCAATGCAATTTTCCCTTCTCAAAAGCTTCCCAGCAAGGTGCTGAATGCAGCAGCTCATTTGCTGAACCTCTCGCTGAGGAGAAGCAGATTCCTAGCAGGAATGCTGTGGGACAGGAGGAGAGTCGTTCACATTACCCGTGGTTTATGAATCCCAGCATGAACCACCCTGAGTGCTGTGGTACAAGCAAATTGAGTCAGTTTATCCTGTGAACAAAGTTACCTAGCTGTCCTTCTGTGCTCTGCCTCACCTGTGCCTTCAGAGCTGCTCAGGACGGGAGCCCACTGCTCCTGTATTAGCTGTTATTACCTCGCCCTGGAGACAGAAAATAAGTCCTTTCTAATGAAATTAATTTTCTTGCCCTCTGCAACCTCCTTCCAGTCATGCTGTGCAGCACTTGCACTGCCAGCAGCCTGAATGAATCATTCAAAACTATACCTGTTTAGGGCACTTCTAAATATTTCAATGTGTTTATCCTGTCAGGGTGCTCCATAAGGATGCTTGAGCTACCAGTGATAAAGGGGAAGGGCTGAAGGGTGTCAGCCAGGGTAGCCACAAAATCTTGATTACTTACAAAGTAGGACACTCGAGAAGCATTTCCACTGCGCAGGAAATCTGACAACTTTGGTGCGGACAACTGCAGCTAAGGGAGAGTCAGCCTATGGATTGACCTATAGATGCAGAGTCCTTGCAGTGCTGCTGTGCCACAGAGGACAGCTAGGAAATGGCATTGCAGTGGGTCGGAGGTGGGCAAAGT